ATAATAATAATAATAATAATAATAATAATAATAATAATAATAATAATCGAAATATATTCTCTTAGAAAATTCAAAATAATCAAGATAAGAATTTGGATTAGCACCTTATTTAAAGAAAAAAAAATAAAAACCATCCTGGTGGTCAATCCTGTGATATAGTCTGAATAATAATAAAAAAAAAAGACTCATGTTCTACCTGCACATATAGTGCGTGATAAGTCTTATTTGTTTTTCTTTCTTTTTTCTTGTGTAGACTAGCCAGCTAAGGTATGTCTATTTATGAAATATGTATGTTGGTTTGATTTTATTCATTCCTTATTTCATTATCTTTTTTTTTTTTTTTTCGTTTTTTTTCTTCTTTTTGTTGATTATTGTTCATTTTTCGCTTATCTATTCTCACTAAAACCTATATATATATATATATACATATATACATATTATCCGTCTTTGTCATTCTTGATCGTTTCAAATTGTGTTTCAAATTGTTAGAAGAGAAGAAAACAAAAATAAGTCAGTATTTTGGTTGTTTGTTTTTTTTTTGTACATTTTGCAAGAAAAAAAAAAACATAAATAACTCTTTTGGATGATGAGAAAATATAAAGATTGACATGATGGAACATTTTGTGTTTAATTATTTCTTTTATATTCTAGATATATTTAAGATAATATATTAATACAAGTAGTAATAGTCAAAAAAAACAAACAAACACAGATGTCAAGGTATGATAAATAACTTCATTGGATTTCTTAGTATTGTTTTTGTTTTTGTTTTGTTCTTTTAATTAGATACGTTAAACAATTGGCTTGTCGATTCCATCCAGAAGCATCATTAGTTGAAGATTATCGTGCTGGTGATATGGTTTGTCCAGAATGTGGCTTAGTTGTTGGTGATCGGTAGGAGATATACATAAGAGAATTCACATATAGAAACACGATAGATCTCTACTAGAAAAGTATGGAATTTCAAAATTAAAATTGAATGGTACTAGAATTTAGTCAAGCGCATGTTTATTATTCTTCACAGATTCTCTATTAGCATACTCTCAGAATACAAACAAAAAGGTAGGTTGGTAGAATTAGAGAAAAAAGAAAACGAGAAAGATACGAATTAGAGATTGGTGGGACCAATCACTGTGACTACAGCTCAAGTTTATTGGATTAGATTTCTCTCGATCGATACATAAAAAGAATTATTGGAATAAAATGCATTTTTGAGAAGTTTTCAATAGATTGAATACAGCTTGTCATTATATTAGAATTGTTAATTTGATAAATTTATGATGAGATCCATTCTCTCACAAGAAATTAATTTATTGTGTTATGTTATATTGTATTGAAAATTGTATATAAGTTTGCATAGCGAGCAAGTGTCTATCTTCTCTCTTAAAGGAATTGATATTGATTTGATTTTTTTCTGAAGACTAATATAAAGAAAATCGATACATTCTAATCAATAAAATATAAAAAATTCGAATAGAATTTGTTCAATTACCTAGAGTTTCCTTGCATCAGAACACATTTAGTAGAGTAATCAAAATTCAAGATCTAATAATAGAGATTACGGAGTATATAATGTCAATCACTCATTGTCTTTCTATTTTTTATTATCATGCATAATGATTATTTAAAATTTTTCTTTAGAATGGTAGATGTTGGTTCTGAATGGCGTACATTTTCTAATGATAAAGATTCAAAAGATATGAGCCGTGTTGGAGCTGTAGAAAATCCACTATTCGATGGTGATAATCTTGAAACTGTTATGTCATTAGGTACAGGTGCCGGAGCTCTAGATGAATTTGGCAAACAAAAATATAGCAATGGTCCTCGTCAAGTAATTGCTGTTTTTTTTATTTATTTATCTAATGCAACAAATATATATCTTTTTTTTTTTATTAAGATGTCAACTGCAGATAAAGCATTACGAAGTGGTTATGATGCTATTCGACAAATGGCTGGACGTATTAATTTATCAAGTCGAATTATTAATCGAGCTTTTTCACTTTTTAAACAATGTTATGAAAATAAATGTGTACGTGGTCGTTCACAAGATGCTATTGTAGCAACATGTATTTATATAGCTTGTCGACAAGAAGGTGCACAACGTACAATAAAAGGTAAAAAAAAAACATAAAATATTGTTTATATATTTTTTTTTTTGTCTTTTGAAAATATTTTAAGAAATTTGTGCTATCTCAACAAGTGCATCAAAAAAAGATATTGGCCGATGTTTTAAACAAATTGTTAATAGTTTACCGAATTCTAATCGACCTGAATCAATTGATATTAAAAATTTGGTGGTATGTACTTTATTTTGAATTATTATTTTATTTCTTTTTTTTTGTATTCTATTAAAAGCCTCGATTTTGTAATCAACTTGAACTTCGTCAAGAAAATATTATTCAAAAAACAGCTGTTTATATTGCTGAACGTGCAAAAGAAATTTGCGATATACAAAGTCGTGCACCAGATTCAATTGCAGGTGCATCAATTTATATGGCTTGTGCAGCTGCTGGAGAGAAAAAACCAATGAAAGGTAAAAGAGATAATTTCAAAAAAAAACTAAAATATTTTATTTTTTTGTTTTAGATATTCAAGTTGCTGCTGGTGTTATGGAAAGTACAATACGATCAATATATAAACTTATGTTACCAAAAGCTGCTGAATTATTTCCAATTGGTTTTGAATTTAAATGTCCAGTGGCTAATTTGCCACAATCATAAAGAATAAACTAGAGCCTTTTCTTTTTCTTGTTGTCAATGTATATCTATGGATTTTGCGTGATTTAATTTATAAAGGAAAAAAAAACAAAAAAAGTAATATTTTTCTGTTTTTGTTTACAGCTATTCTTGCTTATTGATGTCTCATGTTATATACATTTAAGAAAAAAAAATATGAAAGAAAAAATAAAAATATTTTCTAACATGCTTTGTTTTCATTACTTCAGATGGCAACTGCAAACATAAAAACTGAAGATGACGAACGCGAACAATGGCAAGCAGCTCAAACAGCATATAATCCACATAAATGGGCCGATCTCAGTGATGAAGAAGACGATGATATAGATAATCCTGAATTTTTTGATGCACATGATAATGATTTTCATCAAAATCCATCATCTTCTACAGAAGGTCATGCTGAAGCAGAACTTTTACATAATCGTCTTAATTCACAATTATCTACAAGTGAACAAGTTCAAAAGAAATCACCAGGTTAGAATTTATTTGTATTTTATTTTTTTTATCTGATAACATTCTAATTATTTTAGAAGATCCATATTTTATGGATGAAGAATTACTTGTTGAACGTGAAGCACTTTTAACAGAAGAAGATAAAGAAGTAATGATATTTTCCTAGAGAATAGAGTATTGCACGGATACTCAATTTGTGATATCTTAAATTAAAGTGATGTTTTTCGTCATTGAGAGTCTAGTATCTCATAAATCGATCCCATCAACAATCTATTTGTTTAATTATAGAAACGTCATAAAGAATCACAAACATCAAAAGAAGAAGGTAATGATTTATTTGGTCGTGGTGAATATGATCAAGCATTAGAAAAATACAGTCATGCATTATCTTTATGTCCAATGAAATATACTCATGATCGTGCTATTATCTATGCAAATCGTGCAGCATGTTTAATGAAGATGGTATAATTAAAATTATTTTTTAAATAGAAAAAAAGTCATGGTTTTTTTCTTTTTTGCTAATTTGTAGGAGAAATACGAAGCTGCTGTTCAATCTTGTACAATATCAATTAAACTTGATCCAAATTATATCAAACCTTATGTACGGCGTGCTGAATCTTATAAATCTATTGATAAATTAGAAGAAGCATTACAAGACTATCAGAAAATTCTTGAACTTGATCCAAATAATGCTCAAGCACGAAGAGAAGTCTATGTAAGATATTTTGTTTTTCTTTGTTTAATAACTTGTTTTATTTTTATTTATTTTTAGATTTTACCCGATCAAATAAAAGATCGTAATGAAAAATTAAAAGACGAAATGTTAGGTATGTTGCATATGATACATTTTTTTTTTTATTTTCAAAAAAACTAATCATCTTTTTTTATTTCTTAGGTAAATTAAAAGAATTGGGAAATATGGTATTAAAACCATTCGGTCTATCCACAGATAATTTCAAACTTCAACAAGATCCATCGACTGGCTCTTATAGCGTTAATTTTCAGAAATGAATGTGATATTTTTCTTTGATTTTTTTCT